CTGGTGATCCAGGGTTTGTTATTAGGGAAGCATCTCACTGTTCTGCTGGGGATGGTGTTGTCCACACAGAAGTTTATATAGTCAGTCACATACTCAGTCATGGCATTTATGTCATCTCCGTGTGGCTGGCAAAGAACAATCCAATCTGTAGCTTTCAAACATCCATGTAGGGCTTCTTCAGCTTCCTGTGACCACTTTCTCACAGTCCTTGTAGTTACAGGTTGTCTCTGAACAARTGCTTTATATTCTGAGCAGAGATGAACAAGGTACCCAGAGGAGGTCTTGCATTTGCKATATAAGAATCCTTAACATTTGTGTAAAACAAATCCAATGTCTTGTTTTCTCTGGTAGAGCAGCTGACAAACTGTTGAAATGTTGGCAATGTAGCAGAGAGTGAGACATGATTAAAATCACCAGATATTGCCACAAATGAATTGGGGTGTTGTGTCTGTTTCTTAGCAACAACGGAACTGACAACATCACATGCATTGTCAGCAACAGCTGAGGGTGGAACAGCTGCCAAAATAACACTGGTGAACTCTCTTGGTAAATAATATGGACGAAAACTCACGGCCAAGAGTTCAATGTCTGGACTGCAGTGATGAAACTTCACAGTAACATGTCCTGGATGACACCATCTGTAGTTGACAAGCACTGCTAATCCACCTCCTTTCTTTTTCCCGCTGCTCTTTAAATCTCTGTCTGCTTGTATAGTCTGGAAGCCTGGCAGAGAGATGTTGGCATCAGGGACATGATCCTGCAGCCATGTCTCAGTGAAACACATAATACTGCATTCCCTATACTCTTGATGAGTCCTTGTCAGGGCTTGAAGTTCATCCAGTTTTTTTAGCTAATGATCTCACGTTACCCATCAGGATTGATGGAAGTGATGGTTTGAACTTCCTCCTACTCTCTCGCCTCTTTGCTCCAGCTCTGCATCCACGATGCCTCCTTTTCAACTCTTCTGGGATTTGCGGCTTCAGTTCATGTATTATTTCAGATTTTGTAATATTAATCAGCTGCTCCCTGTTGTAAACCACCCTGTTGCTATGGTTACACATCATAACAAAAAGCAAAGTATAAAAAAAAAGTA